CCCGCCGAGTGGCCACAGAGACGAATTTCGGGTTGGATCGGCATCTTCTCCGACATTTCGCTGCCGCCCTTCTTGGTTTCCAACATGATCAAGTGAATGATGAGGGGGAAGGGAAGGATGATTATTATTATTATTACTGTTATTATTATTATTCGTTATTTTTAACATTTCAAATAAAACCACGTTGTGTTGTAAACAGAAGCTCACTCCTCAGGTCTGCCCAGCCAGTCCCAGCTAAGGTTTATGTTTGAAATGCGCTTCCACTGAAAGAAAAAAACAGAGAGAAAGTTAAAACCAGGACAAGCACCGGCAGGCGGCGACAGCCAGGCGCAAGCCCACCCTCCGTCCGGGCGGTCCTTGTCTTGCCGATGCTCCTTGAGTCCCATTATCCTTATAACCGGGTGACCTTATAGCGCCGTGGACATCACGCCAGAGGGGATGAAGAGGGAAGGATACCATCCTCCTCCTCCTCCCAGCGGGAGTCCCTCTGCTTGGACAGCCTTTGCCTCGCAGGCGGCGACAGCCAGGCGCAAGCCCACCCTCCGTCCGGGCGGTCCTTGTCTTGCCGATGCTCCTTGAGTCCCATTATCCTTATAACCGGGTGACCTTATAGCGCCGTGGACATCACGCCAGAGGGGATGAAGAGGGAAGGATACCATCCTCCTCCTCCTCCCAGCGGGAGTCCCTCTGCTTGGACAGCCTTTGCCTCGTCCCCCGGGTTTGCCCCCCCCCCCGGGGGGGGAAGGGCTGCCCTGCTCACCCTGCACAGGAGGGAGCGATGCCGCTGCATCCCCAATCCTTCTCCCATCCTCTAACACGCAGGAAATAAACGGGCCGAGGCTGACCTCCAGCCCTCGCCAGCAAACCCACCTGCATATTCCTGAGGCAGCATCGGCCGGCTTATAACTTTCTGAAAAGTCGTAATCCACTCCAGCTGGTCGTCCTCCGTCTCGCAGGCGAAGAGGAATTTCCGATCCGGAGTGACAATGGTTATCCCGTGCTGCCAGTGGTTTCCCTGCGTGGACGGTGGGAGCCCTTCCAGGACCTTGTAGCTGTTTTCCTTGCTCCCAATAAAAACTTCCCCTCTAGCAAAGGCATCCTAGGAGACAGCGGAGCGGTCAGGCAGGCATGACTGTGAAGGGGAGCTCTGCGTCCCAGGCAGCCAGGGCACGGCTCACCCTGCACCATCCCAAAGCCCCATCAGCGAAGTGCAGCAGCCAAACACCGAAAGCACCAGCCACCCCATGAAGCCTCACCCCAGCTCCTCCCGGGGCACCCACGATACGGGACCAACACCAGGGATCCAAAATTCAGCTGCAGAAAAATCTGCAGCTGGTGCACAGGGTTTCCAAAGCATTTTTGGTTAGTATCTGTGCATGTGGCTACTGCATAGAATCACAGAATCGTTTAGGTTGGAAAAGACCTTTAAGATCATCCAGTCCAACCATTAACCTAACATTACCAAGTCCACGCTAAACCAATTAAGGGTAGACTAGACTAAACCATGTCCCCAAGTGCCACTTCTACCCGTTTTTGAACACCTCCAGGGATGGTGACTCCACCACCTCTCTGGGCAGCCTGTTCCAATGCTTGACCACCCTTTCTGTGAAGAAATTTTTCCTAATATCCAATCTAAATCTCCCCTGGTGCAACTTGAGCCCATTTCCTCTCGTCCTATTGCTCATTACTTGGGAGAAGAGACCAACACCCACCTCACTACAACCTCCTTTCAGGTAGTTGTAGAGAGCGATAAGGTCTCCCCTCAGCCTCCTCTTCTCCAGGCTAAACAACCCCAGTTCCCTCAGCCGCTCCTCATAAGACTTGTTCTCCAGACCCTTCACCAGCTTCATTGCCCTTCTCTGGACACGCTCCAGCACCTCAATGTCTTTCTTGTATTGAGGGGCCCAAAACTGGACACAGTATTCCAGGTGCGGCCTCACCAGTGCCGAGTACAGGGGGACAATCACCTCCCTGCTCCTGCTGGCCACACCATTCCTGATACAAGCCACGATGCTGTTGGCCTTCTTGGCCGCCTGGGCACACTGCATGCTGGACACCAGGCAGATCCACCTAGCAGTGACGGCTCAGTGCCCTCTTGGCTCTCCCACCAGCCTGAGCTTCACTGCATATTAACATAACAAGAAGAAGAAGAAGAAGAAGAAGAAGAATGCAGATAATTCCCAACAGACAGTCCAGGCACCTTCATCTTACCAGGGGATCTTTGAAATACATGAGCCGTCGGTCATCCATGGTGAACCATCGCTTCTTGAATCCTTCTGTTTGCTGAAGAGTCAAAAAAATGCCGGATTACACACCAAAGCAGCGCAGCTCCTTGCTCACCAGGCGTGACCCAGGAGTATCCAGGCACTCGCAGGAGCCCGATGAGCTGCGGGAGTTGGGGACAGGAGGCTTCTGGCCACCGCAAGCCACCACAGCCAGGATCTAGGCCAGCTATACCAGGTGGGCTTGGAGGGATGGGCAGCGAGAGGGGAGATGGGGTGGGTGGTCTGTGAAGTGGTTCTGGACTTTTTTAACATTTGCTTCCATGTGGGGAATGTGTATTAAAGCATTCACAGCATTAAGGCTTTGCCTCTCTGGCAAGGGTGGGTTTGTGCCACCAGCAGACCCTTCTCAGCCCCGCAGACACATTTTATATCCTACCTTTGGCCCTGTTTTCTCCATGTACCCTTCCTTCAGGTAGTTTCTAGAAAGCTTTGGCACCAGCTGGAGAAACCAAAGAGGAGAGAAAAGAGAGCAGCGTCAGGCGGAGGGAGCTGGGGGGTCACTGAGCACATGGGGCTGGGCTGGGGGTCACTGGAAGGAAAGCCCATGCCCAGCTCACGCCCGGCCCCGAGCCCACCCAAGGCAGCTCTGGCTGAACGCTTCGGTCCCACTTCTCCAAAGCCCTCAGAAGAGGCGGGTGCAGAAACGTGAAGCGTCTTTGAGCCCTTTGCCAGCAAAGCAGCCAGCCTCCAGGAGAAGCCCCTGGGCCAAATCCCACTTCAGCTCTGGTGATGCGCCTCCTCCGCCAGATGCAGTGGGAGCTCCTCACGCAAGCCCCAAAGTATAATTTGCCTTCAAAACCCCATCAACACACGCTGCCTGAGCACTCCCCCTTCCTGCAGATACTCCTGACAACAGCTACCAGTGCTGGGAATATTTTTAACACTGCTTAGTGAAGACAAGCGTGTAGCTGCGAGATCTTTGCAGATGTGTCTCAAAGCCTCATGAAAGATGATGAGTCTCACCAAAAACTGGGCCGATGAGCCTGGCCACGTGCCGCTCCGCCTCCCTGCCCCTGCTCCTGCATTTCATTTAAACAGGTTAATGCCTCCGCTTGCCAAACCGCACTCTTGCAACACCTAACTCTGCCCAACAGCAGCTCTGGTCAAGCAGGCATGTACTTGTAGGGCAAAGACACCCCAAAATACAACAGCCCAAAGAATCCCACAGCTGCTCCGTAGCAGCTGGGAGCATCCTCATCTCAGGCGCTCTGTCGCAGGCAGCAAAGGGCTCTGCAGCATTTGTAGCCCCAGCATTTGGCTACCGGGACAGGACTGAGGACACTTTACTAAGCAAGAAGCTCATCACCCTCGGCTCAGAGAGGTTCCTCTACCCTGGAGATGGGTCCCTGAAGCATCCTTCAGAGAGCTTCACTCCCCGGGAGCTGCAGAGGCAGCCTGGGCATCCTTAGGGTGGTTGTGAGCAATTTATACCTCTCTACTGCATTTACCTGGTTCCTGTTTAAATTTAACACCTTCTCATCTCCGTGGCAGGGAAAAGGAATCATAAATTAGATGCAAATGATGGCAGCACCCAGGACTGAGCTACCTTGCGTACATAACGCAATCTCTGCAGAGTTGTCCCCAAGCTGAATGCTCCGAGGGGTTGTGCTCGTAAATTAAACCTCGCTAAACGGTACACTCTTCTGTTTTCCCCCCAAAGAATAATTGATGAGAAGGGGATGATAAGTAAAAATATAAATAGCTTCTCTCCCATCGACACTGTCAGGGGGTGAGCATATAAACCCTCTCACCAACTGCTAGGCAAACAGCAGCTCTATTAAGGTCTGCAGGGTCTTCGGGGGGGCAATTCGATTCAGATATGCCAACCAACTTTAACAGAAGTAGCGGGTATGGAGAGGGGGAGAAGTGCTGAAGGGAAGTATACGCTGCACAGTGACTATACTAAAGCTGGCTAACGAGGCTCCCCTTATGCTTTTTCCTATTTGCCCAGTTTAACTTCTTAGCAGAAAATGGTTGGAAGTCCCTTGGTGCCAGGGATCACCAGCCATGGGACTGTTCTTTCTCCTCCCCTCATTCTCCCCAGAGATTAGGAAGATCTGGGGCAGCTGATGTCGGTGCGTGGGTCCGACGGGAAGGCGCTGGCTCCGGTGAGTCCTTGGGGTGCAGGGGCAGCTGCGGGACAGGGCCACCCTGCAGCCCAGGGCCGGCCCCGGACCACCGCTGGACCCCTCCCAGGTAATTAATAGAAGGCAGGTAATGCAATTAGATTTCAAAATCTATGAAGTCAAGGAGGTAACAGAGTAACCACCAACAACAAAAAGTCCAGAGCCAGTGACATTACACAGCAACTGCAATAAGAGGGACTTACAGTCAGCTTGCAGTAATACAGCCTCCAGTATTGTATTAGCAAAAGATAACGCGATTAGCAGTCCCAGCTCCCGGAAAATACAAGGCAGAGATTCATAAGACAAGCTGCATTGACCTGCACTCAAGAACTCACCCCAGAGGCTCGGATACGACACTGACACTCTTTTGCTTTCATCTTTTCTACCTTCCAGCCTTTGTTTCAGCTTTTAGTATTACAGCAACAGTATTTGAGAAAGACACTTACAGCTTCTGTATGCTTGACAGCGCTGGAGTTACTCATACGCACGACTCGCATTTTGAGTGTGAACATGCGTGCATGCACACACACGCACACGGTTTCCAAGGCTGGATGTTGGTAACAGGTGCCGAACGTGGGCTCTGCAGCCCACCACAATAATTTCAGCCCAGTAATCGCAAAACACTCTGAAGGATGGAGCGCTCTCCAAGCCTTCCAGCTTGGTAACAAGATGCTAAAAATGAGCAAGAGAGGAAAAAGAAAAACAAAACCCACAGGAAAACTCACATCAACATCGCTGGCTCCAGGGAATGCCACTTGTAAGTAATGAAAACGTGCTGCCCGGATGGCGTTGAACCAATCCACTATTTCCTAATAACAAGAAAGAAAAGCATAGTGAGTAACGTAGTCTGCACATAAAATAACATGATCCTGCTGTGTTTCATCTCTCTCATCACTTTGTCCCAAGTGACAGAGTGCAGTTTAGCAGCGGTCCTAAAAAAAATAAAATACAGACATAAAAGAGGGCAGGGGATGGGCGAAGGATGGGGAACATCCAGCACCTGTCCCAGGCTTCAAGATGTGCACAGAGCTCTGCAGCCCCCAGTGAGCACCAAGGGGCTTTCTGCAGAGGGAAGGATTTAAGCGTGTCTCTGAACTGGCAAACCCAGCATCAAATCAGCATTTGAGACATTGAGCCCAGCATTGAGTTTCACCCTGTAAACACTGCTCCGCTCGTGCTGGCTGGGTGCAAAGCCGGCCCGACTCCTCCGCAGCCTGCCTCCACCCCTGCCTGCCCGCTCCCTCCGGCAGCCACAAGCTGACTGCGAGCCGGACAGGCGAGGAACTCCTGAATCCCACCCAAATTTTGAGCCCTTAGCAACAAATTCCCGTGTTTTGCTAAAAAAGTGGCCAAACATCTATTTATCTTTGTAATCCAGTCTATCGGTCATATCCACGAGTCCTCTAGGGACAAGCACAGTGAAGTCCCAGCTCAATTCCCAGGTGCTCTGGCACTTCTACCTTTCCTTGGCAGAAATTTCTCTGTGTTTTTTGGTGGGGATTTTCGCCTCTGAAACAGTTGGTTTACAACTTATTTGCTTTTAAACTCAGCTATTCCTTTGTCTCTGGCGAGACCCACAGAGCTTGTGCCGCACTGGATGCTTTTTTGAAGGTTTCACTGAGAAATGCCACATTAATTTTAAGCAATCCACACAGGGAGCCCTCAAATAACTGCCTTGTGCTCTCAAGGTATGGGCAAAGGGAAGGCATGTTGGAAGGGAGATGTAGCACCTGCCCACTCCGGGATGCTCAGCTGCGGGGAGACGGATGCTGAACTAACCGGCTGTGATTAACGCACGTGGAGCTTCACACATGAGGGACAGGCTCAATGAGCCAGACTTGATCCTAAAATAAACACTGTCAAGCTTTCAGGTGAGGTTGCTGTAGCATAGGAAAGACCATATCACACTTGGCCTTTGGTAAGATTTAAACTTTTTCATGCTTTAAAAACGATTGGGGGCGGGGGGAGGATCTTATGTGTAGTTTTGGAGATCTCAGTTTTAAGGAGTTGAACCTGAGGTATCTCAAAAAGGGTCTAACGCTGCAAACAGCCACCCTCTAAAAGTTCAAATGCTTGTCTTCGGCTTGTTAATCCACTTCAAGTTGAAGGGGAAAAAAACCCCAACTCACACTAGGACATACACAAACAATGTTTTGGAAAACTCTGACCTACTTGTCTGAGGTTTTACTTACTTATTACTTGCTTTCCTATGCTAAGCAGCTAAGCAGACCCCAGATAGCAGCACAAAGAGGATCAGTAAGAGGAATTCGCTCCTGAAGTTAATGATGCCCAAACCAGGCTGGAGGTAATGAAAAATAAGCTGCAATGTTAAAATGTTGGTATTTCATACAGTCACCAACTGGGTGGCTACACATATATATATGCAGGTCTCCTTGACCATGATGGGAGATAGGTTTCACCCTGCGGAAAAGCAGAGGCTGAAATCCTCACTGACTTCCAACAGTCGATTGCTTCTCGGAGTACTGATCGTCCAGCGCTGGAGGAAGGGGCACCACCACCTTTCTTCGTACAAACCTGTACCTGCATATGCAAAGCCAGAAGGCTCAGTTACTAAAAAATGTTCTGTGTGTATAATTATGAACAATGCCACAGACAGAGTGAGGAGATTACCTCTGATGTATTAAAACAACATTAAACTGCTCGGTGTTTTCAGATGGGAAGGTGTCATCTCATTAGCTCGTTAGCAGGGATTCCTTTCACTGATTCATATCTCAGAGCAAGCAGAGAAAATTAACTACTGCCTGCATCTTTTCAAATGGCTTTTCCAGGCTCTCAGCTTTGTCTTGATGGCCTGGTTTTGGCTGGGATAGAGTTAATTTTCTTCCTAGTAGCTGGCATAGTGCTGTGGTTTGGGTTTAGTAGGAAAATAATGTTGATAACACGCTGATGTTTTAGTTGTTGCTAAGTACTGCTTATGCTAGTCAAGGACTTTTCAGCTTCCCATGCTCTGCCAGGTGCACAAGAAGCTGGGAGGGGGCACAGCCAGGCCAGCTGACCCAAACTGACCCAAGGGCTATTCCATACCATACGGCATCACGCTCAGTATATAACTGGGGGGAGTTGGCCGGGGGGCAGCGATCGCTGCTCGGGGACTGGCTGGGCATCGGTCAGCGGGTGGTGAGCAATTGCATTGTGCATCACTTGCTTTGTATATTCTTTTATCATTATTATTACTTTATCTTCCTCTGCTGTCCTATTAAACTGCCTTTATCTCAACCCACAGGTTTTACTTTTTTTTTCTCCCCCTATTCTCTCCCCCACGCCACTGTGAGGGGGGGGGTGAGCGAGCGGCTGTGCGGTGCTTCATTGCCGATTGGGGTTCAACCCTGACACCTGGTCTGCTTGCAGTGCCACCGCAGACTCCCTTCTCCACGTGCCACTTTGGTGTCTCTCCAGTCTCTATCCTGCACCAGAGCCACCCACATTGCTGTGGCAGTCTCAGACTGACAACCCCAGATAAAAACGCAGCTTCTCACCGTACCTCCTGCTCATCAATCCCTGGGGCTCAAGGAATGAGCCCCTCCACTACAACTCCTCCTGCTGCTGATCCTCATGCCACCTCTTCCCATCCCAAAAGCTCCTGGTGTGGCTCAGGAAAGGAGGAGCAATGGGGAAAAGTGTTTTGCCACTTTGTCCAGAGAAGATCCAAAGATCTCGGTTTGCACCCTAAAGAGTGGCCTTTCCTGGAGATTCAGCCCACCTCTGAGCATCCTGAGGGCGATGGTGACACCAGGGCTGGCGGCAGCACAGCTCAGCTTTCCGAGCTGCTCCTGCTGCAGCTTCCAGGAGAAGTCCTGCAGAGGGAGCTTCAGCCCCAGACAGGAGCTCAGGGCGGGGGGCACCCACTTCTGCAGCGCTCCTGCCTCCCACGCCCAGGCGGAGGTCTGGGGCAGGCAAAGGCTGGCCCCAGCCTTCTGCGCACGGGAGGGACCGCCTCGGCGAGAAGCACGGGTTCAGGTGCCTCCCGGACACGGGGCAGTCTGCACGGTGAGGCTCCCGGCACCGAGGATCGGTCTCAAGCTCCAGCGGGTGCCTCAGCTTCACCCCGGCTGGCTCAGCATGTCTGCTGGGGGGTAAGCGCTAATAAGGCACCACAAGAACATCCTTGAACATGGTCACAGCCCAACGCTCATCTTGCCCTGGCCCTCCAGGTGCCCGCTGTTATTGACGCCCACATCATGAGCACCCAGATATGCCCATTTTGAGCAGGGTGCTGGGCCTGGTTTAGAATGAATGCTTTGGGTTGGAAGGGACCTTTAGAGCTCATCCAGC